ATAATATATGTTAGGAAAAAATTGTTCTATTAATAATCATAATTAGATTAATTTATAATAATTTGTTAAATTAAATAATTTTAAAAATACATATTTAATTATTTTTAATATTGAAAAAATTATTTTAATATAAGAATTTTAATTAAATAATAGAAGAAAAAAAATATAAGAAGAATAAATTAAAATAAAATAAAATAAAATAAAGAAAAAAATTATTTTATATCATTATATAAATAAATTATAAAGATTATATTGTGTCATTAAATTATAAACTCATATAAAAAGACCCGCTCACAAATTTGACATCAAATTTTAAAAATTCACTCGACACACACTTTCACCATCGAGCGCGCCCTCACATCCAACATATACATGTATATTTATATTTATATATATATATATATATATTTGTATTTGTATTTATATAAATATATTTGTATTTGTATTTATATATTTTATATTTATATATTTATACAGATATATATTTTTATTTGTATATAAATATAATTTATTTATAAACTATTATCAAAAACTCCTAGTAGTTTAGTGGTTGGAGTATCGGTCTTTAATTCTAAGGTATTGAGTTCGAATCCTGCAAGTGACAATTCTTTCAATCTAATAATAATTCAAATTTCTAAAAAATATATTATAAAAGAATATAAAAGGGAGGTTAGAGACTATTATAATGAGATAAAATAGAAAGGGGTTATAAAAAAATATTTTTAATTTTTTAATGTTTTTGTTAGTGACTGACTGAATCGGTTACTGAAATCAGCGACCAAGGAAATAGTGACCGATTTGGGTTGGTTACTATTTCGGTCACTATTTTAGTTAGTGACCGATTTTGGTCATTTAGTGACCGAAAATTTGGTCACTATTTGATGTTTTTGTTGTAGTGGAAAGAGCCTAAAACAAATTGTTTTTTTTTTAAACCTAAGATACAGTGACAATTAAAATCATAACTATCATCATATGCATGCTTGACGTAAGACTTCAACGATGAGTATGGTTCAACTTGTCGTTGCATATAAGGGATACAACAACGATTGTTTACAAAGACTTGTCATTATATGTTACATACAATAACGAGTCCATATAAATAATCATCATTATATGTGATATACAATGATGGGTAAAAATCCGTCGTTGTATCTCTTACATATCTTAATAGCCATTGCTATAGTAGTGTAGAAAAATAGTTTATAAAGGTTCTCATTCTGAACACACCATTTGGATTCATTCTCAAATGAAGAATGCAAAGAAGGATGATGATAGACTTGAAATTAAATGAGCATAATGTAGACTTACCTTTTATAGTACCAATACACATATTCTATTGAGTATCTGCTACTACTTTTTTTCATTTATTTATTCTATAATATTATTATTATTTCTTTACTTTCTATCATGGTTCTTAAAATCAGACCGGTCATTAAACTGCTGAACGTATTGGTTTAGGGTTCAAATGTTTACCGGAGTTGAACCGAGTTTAATAAAATAATTTACTTTAATAATATAATAATATATTGAACTTAAAATAAGTTTATCACACCATACTAACAATTCTAATCAAATATAAATGTTATTTGAGAAAGTATAATATAATGATAAGAATGATTCATAGAATACATAAAGAAAAATAATATGAATAAACAAATCATCAAATACTTAGAGTACAAAGCAATAATAAAAAAAAATTGTCATTGCACCTAACTTGAAAATAATTAGGGGAAAAAAACTACAACTAACTTGAAAATAATTAGGACTACATCTAACTTGAAAACAATTAAGGGGGATAATTGCACCATATCTTCCATTGCATCTAAATTCAAATTTTATACATTTTATTTCAAGGCATGATTATGGAATCCAAGGATAACTCAGTACATTTAACCTACTGTCCACTCATCAATATCAATTTTACTCCTAGTATTCAATTTTAGAAACCATCCCAATTTTAGAAAATCCCAAATTTAAAAAACTTAATTATAGAAAATCTCAAGATTTTTTTAGTTTCATGAAATATGCACTGAAAATCCCTCCAAAAATATTATTCTTTTACCGTGTGACTAGTGGCGGATCTTGACCATTGATCTTGGGGGGCAAATAATATGTTATTAATAAATAATAAATAAATATAAAAGAAAGAAAGAAGATGAAAGGGTAAAAGGATAAAATTGTAAATATATACTTAAATATATTAAATGATCATTAAGTTAGAGAGAGACAAAATCATAAATTAGATGAGAGTTACAAAACCGAGAAGGGGCTGAGAGGATAAAATTGTAAATATACAAGTAAATATATTAAATGTTCATTAAGTTTGGGGGGGGGCAAAATGATAAATTACATTAGAGTTACAAAACTTTGGGGGGGCCACGACTCCCCTCAGCTCCCAAGAAGATCTGCCGCTAAGTGTGACATCTCGCAAAATTGTTTTATCAAATTAATTTTCGAAATGAAGAGATTGTGATTATTACATGTTATTGTATTTCGATGAATGTTTGTAGTGATGATAATAGCGGACAACGATAACAACAAGGACGACATCGGAAGGAGTCAATCAAAGGTAGTAGGTGACAGTGACGATGACAATTATAAGAACGAATATTGTAGTGAAAGAATAATACTTATGAAAAAACAACTTTTTTCTCTTCACATTTGTGTGTCTCTATGTTAAACTAAATAAAGAAAAAAATATATAAGACAAAACGATGTTATTTAGCCTTTTTGTTTTTTAAAAGAAAAAAAAAGTGACCCCTTGACCTGTTTGATTTCATCAATTTATCTTATTTTTATGCGGTTTATCCGATTTTTACCAGTTTATTATTTGTCCAATTTTTAGGGAGCTCTGGACCTATTATCGAACTGGTTCCCTATCCAATCGGTTGAACTGACTGATCTGATCCGATTTTGATAATCATGCTTTCTATCACTATTAATCACGTAAATAATATATTTAAAAAAGAAAATTTATTTAAGAGCAATCTTTCTAAATTTATTTATCCAACTAGACCTATTTAATATCCATACACAAATTTCGACAAGAGGAAATAGATTTATACGACATAATATAATTATTTTCTCTCTCTTTATTTACTCCTTCTTATTTTATTTTTTCTATGTTGGTCTAGTGTTTATTATTTATTTTTTCTCTTTCTTTCTCTTTTGTTCTTCTCTTATTCCATTGTATTTTTCAATTAAAAATAATAAATTGAAATTTGATAAAGTGGATATTTTATTATTATTAAAAAATAAAAATATTTAGTTGATCCATAAATACTATAATTTAACATATTATATCTAAAAAAATATTATATGATAAATATGAAATATTACAAATATTATTGTTATGTTATAATTATTAAGAAAAATAAATACTTATTTTAAATTAATATTTTAGTAAATATTTTTTTTAAATGACCTAATTTAACTATTTAACATAATTCAATCTAATTATAACTATATTAAATTATAAAATAAAAAACATGTAATTTATAAATATTTTATATTTTATAATATAAATAATTATTTATTATGATAAAATAATTTTAAATTAATTATTTAGTGTCAAAATAAATAAAATTATTTGTTGTTATTTTAAATAATTAGTTAATGTTTTTTTTTAGTTTCATGGTTGATTTTAAAATATTAAATTTTTAATATATTTTTATTAAATTTTAATATAGTAGTTTAACCAGAAGAATATGTGAGAGAAAGATAAGAGACATAAAGTGAAGGAGAGAAGAGAAAAAATAATAAAATAAAAGAATTTATGAAGAAAAGAGAAGAAAAACTGCATATTAATAGTAAAAATAAGTCTACTTAAATAAATAAATTGATAGAAATTCTATTTGAATAAATTTTCTTTTAAAATATATTATTTATAAAATTTATTCACGAGTTATGCTCTCTATTACCGTTTCTTTTACTGTATAATTTTTTACTATCCTATTAAATTGATTTTAAATATGAAATCCATTTCCTTATTATATTCTTAGTTTTCGCTAAATTTTATTGCAAACTCTTAAAAATAATGTGTTAAAAATTAAGAATATTATCATTGTATTTGTATATCCATGGTTGAGAAAAAAAGCATAAGGGACGATATCTTTTTGAGCTGTGTTAATTTTGGCATTAACAAAAGATAAGTCTGGGTATCTTGTTGTTTTGTGTTTCTTCACTATTTCAGTCTTTTCATTCCTGAAAGTAAGTTAAAAACATGGAAGTAATACTCTTATGTTTGGTCAGGTATAGAGAGAAAAGAAAAGTTAAAAGAATATTTAAGGATTTGTTCTTCCCTTCAGAAAGAATACTCGAGTGTAGACACAATGAGACTACCAACTTTGGGCCACCAATGGTATTTCCACCGGATGTTTTTTTTTTATTATTATTTTATTATTATTATAAAAGTAACTATTTCTAAAAGTATTTAGATAAGTTTCAATTTCTATTATAACTGGAAACAATTAAGAACTAATATATCTTAATCGACCAAACTAAATATCTTGGTCCTTTTTTTAATGTTACTTAAAGATACAAATGAATACAGTATTTTGAAATTAATGAAGATTATTATTTTTAGTATTATTATGTTATTTTATATTTTTATGAATTCAAGAAGAGGGAGAAAACATTTGAATAAAAATTAAAATTTAAAAGGTTACTAATAAGTTCCTAATGTGAAAAATTAATGAATAAATAAATAAATAAATAAAATAAGTCTCACCTATAGTGTTTGCATATTATTGGATAACGACAAAAATAAAATAATTTATTAAGGCATAAATAACATATTCAGGTACAAATTAACAACACCCTCTTTATAATTGAGAAAAATATATTGAAAATTATCAAATTTGTTGGCTGTCACTTATTTTCTCTCCTCACACTGAAACTCCTCAAGAATAATAATTTAGATTAGATTCCATCTAATAATCATACTAAGAAGTGTTGAAAGAGAAAGTGGCCTCAACATTCTTGTTGTGATGCAAACCCCCCTAGAATTCGCTGCTGGTAATGCTTGGTTGTGGCAGCTTCTTCAAGATGACTTTAAGCAGATCAATGTAGAGAGGAAACTGCACAATTGCATAGAAAGTGATAGGCAAACAGGTGGCAACGTAAACAGGGAACAAGATGTTCTTGTACTTCTTCTTGAACAAGAAGAAATGCGCAAAGCAAAACGAAGTGAGCAGGGAGGCAATGGAGACAAAGAGAGAGCTGAGGCCTAAGAGGAGCTTCAAGGGCAAGCTCTTCTGGAAGTCCTGCGCCTGTTTCCGGGAGGTCAGGATGGCCAGGAACATTATAAGGGCGGTGACGGAGAAGCAGAGGCCGATCAGGGAGGCGATGGCGAAGGCGTCGAAGGCCGGCTCCCCTTCCAGCTCTGGCTTTCCGTTGTCGGTGCCGCCCGGGACGGTGCTGGAGGTGGCGAACGAGACACCGGCGATGAGAGCGGCCACCACGGAGCAGGAATTAGAAGTTTCCTTCATCCAGTCGGAGCTCTCATTCACCAGATCTCTGTGATTCTGCTTGAAGATTTCCCCGGCGGTTTTTCCGTCGTTGTTGGTTCTGAAAGTTAAATGTTCTGGCACTAGGGTTCTCACGTACTGCATGCATGCATTCATGATCATAAGATTTATAAGTTCATGCACGAAAAGGTTAACTTTAATACAATAAACATCAAAGAAAAAGAAAAATGTCACCTGATACCACTTGATATCCCACATCATTTGCATGGCAGCACCAGCAATCTGCCATGTCCTTACATTGTTGCTAGTTGAACCTGCAGCCAAATGCAAGACGGTGTTCTCGCTGTTATCCACTCCCAAAATTAAGCTACCAAACAGATTCTTTTCCACAATCTTCTTCAACTTCTCAACAACTTTGGTTTGCCTGTTCTTCACTGCCACAAGCAAGACGTTTTCATTGTTGGAGTTGGTTTCATGCACAGCATTCGGTATTTTCAATAGAAGGTCACGCACAATCTCCTCAATGCCGTTTCTTGCAGCTGCCAATAATGCAGTCTCCTTCTTGTCAACATGGTGTTCCCGAAATTTGTACTTGATCTTCATTGCCACAACCAGCAGGTTATCATTCTCAGGGGTGGTAGAGTCATGGAGGGCACTTGGTTCATTGTTTTGAAGCTCTTTCACAAAGTCGACTATGCCTGCTTTTGCCACTGTCACAAATGGTGTTTCCTCCTCCTGATTTTTTGCTGCAGATTCTTTTGTATTCTTTTGTTGTTGATTCTGTTGTTGATTCTGTTGTATCTGTTTTTCCAGTTCTATCTGTTGTTTGGTAACATCGTGTGGCACACTGTCGCCGTCAACGTCCATGAATGGTTGACCCCCAGTATACGACTCAAAAGGAGTTTTCATAAAAATATGCAAGAGCTGAATAGCCCATGTGTGCTTCTGCCTTGTCGACTTTATTGCTTTCAAGTCTTCAAAGTTATGCAGATGCATAGACAAGAGCAATCATTTATCACTAATCCAACTAGGATTTGCTCAAAATCTATATTAATAAAAAAAATAGGGTTATCCTATGAACGAAGGCACTACATACCTGGTGCAGTGACACCGAGGCAAAGGAAATTGAATGCTGATCGAACTGCACTCTTTACAAACCCAGCACTAGAAGTGGCATGTTTTCCTTCCTCATAATTCGATCCTATATTGGCTTCATTTTCTAACTGAATACTCACTGAAATAATAATACCACCCAACTCATGACTTAATATAATATAAAAAATTAAATATACCAAAGTTAAAGGAACTAATACCTTTTATTATTATTATTATTTATTAAAAGAATATTTTCTTTAATTATTCTCGTCCAATAACTTGTAATAAATACAATTTACAATTCTTAATCTTAATAAACTAATTAAATAATTAATAATTTCATGTATATATTTAGAAACTAATTATAAATGAAATATTGTTCTAACCAAAGTATTTGGGTATTGTTCAAAGTTTCTCACATCGATTAATTTGAAAAGGGAGAGTGGTAGATTTATAATAAGTGGTAGATTATTATTATAAATGAGAGATAAAATTATAATAAGAGATAAATAATTTTGGTTTACTCATGACAACAATATTAATCTTTGGGTATATTAGGAACTTAAATAGTTGTATGTCTAGAGAGAGTTTACAATTTTTCTGTGCAAAAATTATACGATTGTAATTTTTTCGTACAAAAATTACTAAAATAAAAATTAAAGAATTGTTGAGTATCCTAATAGATATTTCTATCTCTGCTTCTCGTGTTTCCATAGGGGAAATTTCCCCTCTTGTACCCAACAATATATACTTCACTAAGATATAATGACAAAGTATATTTACATATATCTTAATATTTATTGATAAATCTATATAATTTATTTATTCATAAATCTATATAATTTAAAATAAAAAAAAGACAATTTTAACATTATGAGGTATTAAACGGATGTTTACCTCGGAGTTCAGGGGCGTCATATTTTTTAACTTTCTCCATGTACGATTTTATAGCTTTGTCAGCATCGAGAGATCCGACAAATATACCTTTGACATGAAAAATAATAGAAATAATATTAGATGGTATTTGGTGGTCTTTGACATGTACAAATACAATAATTAAATATTATTTTGTTCTTCCAATATTCAAGTCTTATAAGGTTCTATTTTTTTTTTTTTTGCTTAATTAAATGTTTGATTAGTTTACATTATGTATATGTTTTTTCTTACCTATATTCTTTTACTTAACTGAGTACATTTATTTTAAATTTTTTCAAAATATGAAATTCATATATGAAAATCATTTTAAAAGTTTATAAATATGAAAATTAGTATATTGATTAAAAGACCTTATGAGATGAATCACCACACACCACTTACAATAGGATAGAATTGTCTCCAACCGTGAGAGATTGCTTCCACTCTTGAATGCTGAAGGTTTGTTGGCAAGAATTTTTAGAGGTGTCATTCCAACTTCGTTTGTTGCGTTCTCAAGTTCGGGATAACAATGAATTATTAAAATTGCCAAATCTATCAGTCACAGGTAGAAATCATTAACAAGGAATTCACATTGTTATCTAATTCTTTGTACTGCATACATACTCTTATTTTTAAATTTAAAATCAACCTATCTATACTCACTCTAAGAACAGGGAATTCATTCACTCTTAAAACAACAACAACATCGATTAATTCTCTCGTAATAAATCCACACACAAGTTCAAACGATTCTTATGTGCTCAAATATGTCTTAACTAAGAATAATTTAATTAATTCAGTAATTGAAACGGATTATTAAACCAGATTTACACAATTCTATACCTATGAATTTGCGTTGCGTTGACAACATATATATGAAAATTTAAAATAGCTAGTTTGTATCAATAATAAAATTATATGGATGAATATGGAATTAAAAACTTTCTTACCCAAGAATTCTCTCCAAATGGCTTGGTGAAGGATGGTATCCCCGTGATAGTTCCTAAGAGTAACATCTAACTCTTTGGAAACATTGTTAAGGTACACAAAGGTCTCTGTTTCGCCTGCATGCACAGCCCTAAAAAGAGGTGTTTCACCCTTCTTGTTCCTAGCCTTAATCAATTCATTCCTTTCCTTATTTTCCCCAATAATGCACTTACACATGCGAATGAACCCTCTTGAGGCAGCAAGGTGCAAAGGAGTGTCCCCTCTCTCATTGGTTAATCTCAGTGCACTATCACTCCTCAACTCTCCCCTCCCTTCATGGCTCAAGATTGCTCCAACAAGAGCCTTAACAAGCCTCACCTTCCCATCATTCACTGCCACATGTAGTGCAGTGTCTCTTCCCTCATTGATTCTGAATTTGTGGCAGTCACTGTCGCTAATATATAAAGCAAGAACGCTCAGCCATGTTCCTTCCCACACCCACGATCGGAACAGTGAGGTCTGATCCATATTTGTATCGTCTGTTCCAGATAGAGTCTTTTTTTGTTATCAAACACTTAGAATATGATGAGCTAAGCCATACCGAAAGCATAAAAATAGTATTTATGTACTCATGATTTTTTTTGTAACACTTGATTTTATCATATTTCTGACAAAATATACGAAAATATTATGACATGGTTTGTTTAAAAGCTGCTAAAGATTTTGCTCATTCAGAGGGTGGATAACAAGATAATTTAGAACAAAATGGCAATAAATTTGATAACAATTATAGAAACCAGAGCACAAAGGAAAACTGAAAATGTTATAGAAAAAATGTTTATGAAGGTTCTCATTCTGAACTCACCATTTGGATTCATTTTGAAATGAAGAATGCAAAGAAGGCTGATGAGAGACTTGAAATTAAATGAGCAGAATGCAGACATATCTTTTATAGCACCAAAGCTCCACATATATATTCTACACATATTCTGTTGAGTATCTTCTACTACTTTGTTAATTTATTTGTTCTGTATTATTACTATTTCCTTAGTTTTTATCACTATTTAAAAAACAGTAAGTCGTATCCTTTATTTATTCAGTTTTTGCGTTGTATAATTCTCTTTCTCCTATTAAAGTAGTTCTAAGCATAAAAATTGTTTCATAATTATATTCTTAGTTTCCACTATATTCTATTATAGACTCTGTATAAGTCTAAAAATTAACAATATTAGCATTATTTGTATCAAAATTAAGCCCAAAAGTGTTTCAAGTCATGTTACCGAGCAGTGAACTGTAATCAGAGTTTTTTTTTTTTTTTTTCTTTTCTTGCTCGAAAATCAGATGCATCAGCAAAAGGTAAGCATAATAGGGGCAGTTTCTGCTTTAGTTATGTTAATTTCGACATCAACCAAAGATAAGACTTGGTATCTTCTTGTCTTTATTGTACTCCTTACACTATTTCAGTCCTTTAATTCCTGAAAATAAGCTAAATATACAAGTATAGTGCTCTTATTTTTAGTCAGATATGAAAACAAAAGAAAAGTTAGAAGAATATTGATCACATGAGCAATGATTTGTTCATCACTTTAGAAAGAATACTAAAGAGTGTAGATGCAGTGAGACTATAACAACTTTGGACCACCAATGTTATTTTCCACCGGATGTTTCTCTCTTTATAAAAGTAACTATTTCTAGAAGTAATTACATAACTTTCCATTTCTATTATAAATGGAAACAAGATCTAATATATCTTATTGACCAATTTTTTTTTTCAAATTTAAAAAGGATAAAATACTATAATAATTATAATCTTTTATAAAAATATAAAAACAATCATATAAGTTAAATAATTTTAAGTTGATAAATATAACAAATTCTATTATTTTTTTTCATATATAATCACTTTTTTTAAAAAAATAGTAAATTATATAACTCAGTCCTATAAAATTGATTCAAGTATGATGAAGATTGTACTCACTTATATACTATAATGTTATCGTCAAGTAAGATCTCTCGATACCATCTTAAAAATAATAACATACCTAATTCAACCCTATAAAATTGGTTAACTATAGCGAAAATTATACTTACTTATATACTACTATAATGTCATTATACTTTTAGTTGACATAATATTTCATCACACCTCTCTACTTGATATGCAACTCTTTTATAATAACAATAATTTTTCATACTATTTTTATTACAGAGGGTTATATATATATATATGAAAAAAGAATTCAATATATCGTTACTCAAATTAATATCTTATTATATTTCCAATAGAAGTTTATAAACACTATAAATTGTCTTAATTAATATGATGCAGTGAAGATATGACATGAAGGGAGCCTATTAGAATACCATGTCAGTTATTTAAATAAAATATACAATGTATAAGAGAAGTAATTTTTTATAAACATACATTATTAGTATTTCTATTATTGATTCTGTAAATAAGTTTTCAAAAATTAAAAGTGACAAAATGTTATTAGAGGATCGCAACATTAGTCAATTACAAGTCAACAAATAAAAGAATATATATACTAACTAGGTAATCCGTCCAAGCTTCGATATTTAAATGCTTTTAATCTTCAATTTAACACATCTAAATTTTAAGAGTATTTCTTCAATTTTAATAATTTTTTATTTTTTCTCTCTACTATTCTTTATGTTTATTTTTTTAATTCTTTTACTTTAAATTTTTAAACATTTAAGATGACCAACACAACTTGAAAGCGATAAGGATTACTCACACAACCAGACTCAATTAACCCAACCACTTTTAATTAAATTGAGTCCAAATTTTCTGCCCAATCCATATTCACTCTAAGAACAAGCAACTCACTCTTAAAATAAAAACAACATCGATTAAAATCAGGGAACTGAAAGTATCAGGGACTGACAGTAATTTCGGCATCAACAAGATAAGGCTTGGTATCTTGTTGTCTTTATTGTGTTCCTTACACTATTCCTCAAAGTAAGCTAAATATGGAAGAATATTGATCAAATGAGCAAAAGTTTGTTCTTCACTTCAGATAGAATACTCAAGAGTACATCCAGTGAGACTAACAATTTGGACCACCAATCTTATTTTTACATTATACTGTGATGGATTTTCACAGTCGATTTTGAGAAGGGAAATAATGTATTATTAATAAATAAAAAATAAATAAAAAAATAAAAAATAAAATTATAAATATATAAAAAAATATATTTAATGATCATTAAATTTAAAAATAAAAATTATAAATAAATATATGAAAATTAAAAAACTTTAAAAGACACTTCCTCAATTCTGAATAAAATTGCTACTTTACTGTTTCCTTGAAAGTAAGTTCATTTGAAGTAATGCCCTGATTTTTTTCTGGGTAAGTTACATGAGATGACAAGTTTTTGGTTTAGCTAGAAATAAAGAGATACTGTGTTACTTAAATGAGGAAAGAATTATGCTTCTCTTCAGCAATAAGACTCTAGTGTCGAGATACACGTTTGACTCAAATTCCAAATATTGACATATAAATACATAACTAATGTAAGTTATGCACAAGTTTGAGAATCTACATTGCTCAATTTTTAAATATTATATTTTGCTTTTTTTTTTTTTTTAATGTTACTTAAATATACAAATGATTGCAGTATTTTAATAAGTGATTGCTAATATGAAGAATATATATATATATATATATATATATATATATATATATATATATATATATATATATATATATATATTATACTTTGCCATTTCATCCCATATGTTTCAGACCTGACAGTTCAATAATTTTCCACAAAATATTTGTTTTATAGAGTTCTGTCGATCAGAGTTTCGTAACATGAAAACTTGGTGGCAACGTGATACTAGAATTTCCATATAATTGCTTCGATAATGGTGTGAAATGGTCCACGTTATAGTAAGTTACTTACACACAATTTCTTACCTTCTACCACTTGTTCTATTTATCTCATTACAATACGGTGATAAATTTTTTAATAATAAATATTATCTTTTATGTATTATAATATATAAATTTTTCATAAAAAACTATTAACAACCACGAATAAAACATAAGTTTATCGTGAATCAAAATTAAATGAAATTTCTCAAAATAATCAAATAGAGCATAATAAATGAGAAAAAAAATTGAATAATAATTTTATCAAACTAAAATTCCTTATTATCACAATATAGAATTAAGTTATATTTGTATTAATTACATGATCCTTAAAATTCTTTGGTGACATACCTTAAATTAAATGATCCACAATTGAATATTAATATGCTCAGTGACTACTTCTTTTCTTTAAAATATTCTCTTATGATTAGATATTTAATGTTAATGTGCTTAATTTAATTTTGACTTTTATTATTTTTAGTCATAATTACCGCAATAGAATTATCATAATATAACTTTTAATGTCGTACCAATTGGGTCCATAACTCTAAGCTCATATATTAAACTCTTCAACTATATAACATGTGATATAACCTTAAAATAATCTGTTTATTTCCTATTTTGAGTGATCTTGCACTGATTTGCATTTAATTTTTTATTTCTGCTAGTATTTAATTAAGTTAAATTGAATTTCCCTACCAGTTAATTTTGCTTGATTCAAAATTTCTATTTGTAACGTGTTGCAAGTGAACTGTATAAGCAAACTTGAGTTTCCAACAAGAGTAAAGCTTGACGGTACGAATTTGGACATTTCTTTCCATCAATTTGGTCAATCCCAAATTATCTCTCCTGCAAAAGAAAAAAAAGGAAATATGCAATGTGGATGTATGCATGTATATTGTTTATTATGCTAAAACTATGTAAAATGCAACAAATTAAGAAAAAATTGAATTATGCTATATTTTTAATAAAAACATGTTAAATACATGGTTTATGAATAAAATAATTAGCTTAGAAAATGCTCTTAGATATAGTAATAAAGAGTAAAATGACATACATCAAATACTCCCCACTTTTTCTCTTTTGCGCTTCCAAGTAAAAGATAAAAGAAAGAAAAGAAGAAAGAAAAGAAGAAAGAAAAGAAAAGAATGCATGCATTGCAAAGATAGATATTGTTGCAAACGTTAGTGACATCTTGAAAACTACAATAGTCAAGAAAAACTTCATCAACCAAAAGTGAGAGAATAAAAAAGATCAAGATCATAACTCAAAGTATTTTCATGACCAAATACTCTTTAAGGGTTCCAGAACTCATTTCAAGGGAACATCCTCTCGCGGTAAAATGTTTACTCTAATCTCTCAGGGTTTATGCTAAAAATTTCACTCATCATCACATCATCCTTTACCATAGACTTGAAAGATCTCTAAATTTCCATCATTAGAACACATACCTCCATATATCAATAGGACTTTTACTTGGCTAGTAATAGGGCTAGGGTTCAGGGTAGATTATTTTAGGAAAGTGGGCTAAGACTTTAGGAAAAATAAAGAACATGGATCAATGTACCGTAAAGCTTTGTTCCAATTGCATCTTTATGTTTTTTCACCTTTATGTTAGAGTGCCTTTAGAGCTCTTTTATTGCTTTGATACAAACAAAATGATTTTTTTTTCTTTTTCTTGATACTTTAACACTTCTCCTTTTTTTTTGGAATTGTTCGCGGTGAGTAGAATTGGATTTTTGTGATGATTCCATGCTCCTTACTTCCCTTTAAGTCTGGGTGTGGGTAGTTTTTGGGTTGGAAAGACTTTAATTCTCAGATTTAAATCCAAGAAAAGGCTAAGGATCAAAGGTGGGTTCAAAGGATAATTTAAGGTTCTCTAAGGCTCTCAGAAAATTGAACAACTTTTTTCAAAAAAAAGTTGAGAGCTGTGATTACCAAAGAACTGTTTGTTGGAGGAAAAAGAGGTTTTTGGAACCTAGTGTGGGCTAGAAGCGATAAGAATCACTAAGTGGAGTTCTTGGTGGATTGTATGCTGTGTCGTCTCTAGGGAAAACTGTTCTTCATCTCTTGTGTGACTCAAGAGAGGTGTTTTCGTTACCTTATCTTTTTATTTGTAATCTGCTTGTATAACTTTGATTATAGTGACAACGTTAATCCTCTGTTTGAGTGATTAGCAACTGGACATAGGGTCTTTTGATCCGAACCAATATAAATCTTTTGTGTAAGACTCTATCCTTATCCTATTTACGTTTACACAACATTTTAACTTGTAAAATTTGGGGAAAAGTTTTAAAACCTAATTTTTGTTAAGAAACCAATTTACCCCCCCTCCTCTTGGTTTTTGTCCGTTCACGCAAACATTCCGCTACGCGATTCTAAAAAGTGGTATCAGAGCTTGCTTTGATAGTCATTCTAATTTTTTGAAAATGGTCGGACAAAATCAAACTTTTGCCGAAGGTGCTTCTATCAACAGACCCCCACTTTTTGCGGGTCAAAATTATCCTTTTTGGAAAGTTAGAATGCAAATCTTTTTAGAGTCTGTTGATAGAGGTGTTTGGGACGCTATTTTAAACGGTCCCTATATTCCTAAAATTTCTAAAAACGGAGTAGATGTTCCTAAACCATTTTCTAGATGGACGGTAGAGGAAAATAGAAAAACTCAATTTGACGTTAGGGCTAGAAATATTATTTCATCTGCTTTAACCCTTGATGAGTTTTACAGGATCTCCGTTTGTAAAAGTGCTTAAGAGATGTGGGAAATGTTGTGAGTAACCTACGAAGGTACGAACGACGTTAAAAGAACACGAAAAAATTCTTTAATCTAAGAATATGAGATGTTCCGAATGCAACAAGGAGAAACAATATTTGACGTTCAAAAGCGTTTCACACACATTGTGAACCATCTCACTGGATTAGGTAAAAATTTTGATGTTGATGAATTAAATGTGAAAATATTGAAATCTTTGGATAGGAAATGACAACCTAAGGTGACGACCATCTCGGAGTCACAAAACTTTGCCACAATGTCTATGGCGGTGCTCTTTGGAAAGTTGAGAGAGCATGAGCTTGAACTAGGAAGGCTAAATGATGAGGAAGGACAACATCAAAAGAGGAACTTAGCCTTCAAAACTGAAATTTCCAAAGGTAAGAGTAAAAAGGAAGAAGACTCGGAGAATGATGAAGAAGAATTGAGTCTCATGATTAAGAAGTTTACCAAATTCATGAAAGCCAAAGGAAGACATCCATTCAAAGGTAAAGGAAAGGTAAG